CATTTTAGCAAATGGTGATACAATTTTATTTATGTCCTTTTTTAAAAATAAAGCCAGTTGTGGTGATGGAGTTTCTGCCTGACATCTAGGGGGCTTCTGTGTCTCATCTCAAGAATAATTGAAGAGAAACAGGCAGTGATCTATCTTTTTTTTTCTCAATGAACAATGCCTTTAACATGTCATTAGTTCTCGACAAAACACCATTTCTAGCATTTTTGGGAGGAGGCAAGGCAACAAAAATGCTAAACTGCGGCTTCTTCTCTATAGCTGAAGGCAGAACAAATCAGTAGAAAAATAATTCACATTGTATAAACCACTGACTATACTTTAAGGAAATATCTTCTGGTAGTTAATTTTTCAAAGCATTTCTATTCATTTACCTTCTAAATCAGGGGTTCCCAACCTGGGGTGCTTGCACCCCCTGGGGGTGCGAGACGATATTCCAGGGGGTGCAAGAAAAGTCCAGGTAAATAATAGGATATTGGCTATATGTTGACATTTTTATTTTCTTTTGCAATGGATTAACTTTGTTTTCATTTTAGAGTTAAGTATCGTTATTTAGTGGCCGTCACATACATAGCTGAAAAGATTCAATCCTACCATATATTTAACGCGTTCAGTAGTTCCTAAAGTCTAAATTTCAGGAGGTGCGAGGTTCGAGTGAAATTTCTTTAGGGGTGCAGGGCGAAAAAAAGATTGGGAACCACTGTTCTAAAGTGTACAGTTTTAAAGCTTGGATATTTTTGGCTTGCAATCTTCAGAAGCTACCTAAACCCAGATAGAGATATGACTTATTCCACCAAGGTAAGCTTAATTTCAGCAGTAAATGCTCTGTAGGTACTTCAGGAGACCTCCCCATCTTCCAAAATCCCCCATCCTCTGCCTCCTGCCCCTTGGTTTCCCCAAGACCCTGTGGGCCTCCATATTCCACCCTATCACCATTCACTTACTTACCTTTTGATAAGCTCAGGAAGTCAGGGTAGAGAAGGCTGCTCCCTTGCTGGGCCATGTGGCACAATCAAGAAGAAGAAATCCTATCACTTTGGCTTCCGTTGCAATCCTTTCCTCGCCAGCCAGCATGATTTCTCTATGATTTCTTCTTAGATCTGCCAGTGCTAGTTTTAAACCAGTGGTGTTAAGAAGAAATTGTGCCTATTATGGTTCCTTGTAAGCCTTCACTGTTGGGAATCATGAAGATGACTTTAAGGAAAATATGCAATAGCCATTACAAAAACAAAAAGTCCAGAAGCATTCCTTGAGCTCTGGCACAAGAAAAATAAGAGACTCGGGCTATCTTGTCCTTGACTCTTTGGGATATAAGATGGAAGGAAAAAAAAAACATCATCAAACTTGCAGGATTCTCTGAATATAGCTTATCTCAATAAAATGTAGTTCTAGTATTTTATGGAGTGTTGTTTCCTGATCTGGACAACATCAAAGGACATTCACTATAATAATCAGAGGGATGGCTGATGATGGGCACCATTCCCTATACCTGATTGAAGTTTAATATATAGTAACTTCCTATCATCTTTTGTCATGCTATATTCCTTTTTATCTTTAAAACAAAGGTTAATAGTATCTTTTTTCATTCCAATTGAATTATTTGTATTTGTATAGTCTTACTGCACAGAAAAGCTGCATTCGACTAAAAATCAATAGTTTGCAAACTCCAGGGACCAGCTTTAACTGTACCATGTAATAAAGTATAAGCCTACTTTTTTAAGATGGGGTTAATTTTGGATAACCTTAGGCAAACTGAAACCAATCTAAAATTCCATTTGGATGGACACTTTTTGCAGTTAATGCAGTGAAGGAATTGCTTAAACCGATTAATTCAAAATAGGAGAGTAATTTATCCACAGTAGCGTGGGAAAATGTTTTAGTCAGGGATAACAAGGAGCCCATATTATGCTTACACATCACATTGGCTGTTTTCTATGTGCAAGGTAGTTAAGATTTATTGTCACTAAACTTTAGTTATGTTTATTTAATATACTGCAAAGTGGTGAATTTATATTTGTTCTCTCCTCCCCGCCCCCACCTTTTCTTTTGCTGAAATGATACAACAATATTTTTATCTTCTAGGAAAACCTCTCTGCATTTAAATATGATCCCAAGATCAACATACTGCTTTTGCCTCTCCATACTGGTTCTAATGGTCTAAACATAATTGAAGCAACCCAGGTACTGCTGGTTGAGCCCATATTGAATCCAGCACATGAATTACAGGCCATTGGCAGAGTGCATCGTATTGGGCAAACTAAGTATGTTCTAAAATCTGATTTATGTAATCTAATCCCAGCGTCATAAAGGGTTTAGAGGCTCTTGTTCCTTTTTTGCCAACCAGTGACACCAGTCAATTACCTTCACTTATTTTAGTTTTTTCCGCTTCTAATGTGATAGGACTGGGACTTACCAGTCAATAGTTGACAGTTACCCCTGTGAATTTATGTACTCGCACCATAATCCCAACAAGGATCAATTATGTATATAGTTGGGGGGAAATTTTTCAGACATGACATTTTAATACCAGTGGTGGGGGAAAAAAAGAAACTGGAGCTAGTTTAGGATTTAATAGTGACTCCAATTAAGTTAAAGTAATTTAAAGTTATATTAGAAAATGTAAGAAAACACTTACTTGCTCTGACTTCAGAGTAGATACTTAAACTCAGTACTGTACCGTTCTATTTTAAACAGTGACAGCATTTTTTTTACCTGTTACTTAAATTATTACAATTATTCTTTGCCTTTTTGTACATATATATTACCTGTAGCTAATAAAAAATAACAAAATATAAAATATGATGGTAAAGTCAACATCATGCAAATCAGTTAACAATTAAAATATTGTCATTTTCTAAAAACCAGAAGAATACATCTTCCCGAGAAAACATTCTGTAACTCAGGAATTCTAGAACAAGGCTGTCCCCTACATTTAAAGAAAATAGTTTTATTAAGTATTTTAATTAGAATATATTTTCAATATATTTTTGTAACAAAACAATATTTAATCTTAAAGAAAAAAAATTAAAGAGTACAAGCTAAATATGCAAACTAATATGGAAAATAATATATTTATATCTTTCTATTTTATATTCAACAATAGCCACTAGTTTATCAAGTTATTACAGAATCTCTGCCATAAGAACACATATATCCACAACCTTTAATTAGCAGAAAATATCCCCTTTTCCAAAACACACATCTACAATAACCATTCCTTTATTATCTGGACTAATACCACTTCTCTATTTTCTTCATATAATTTTTTTTGCCATCCTCCATGCCCAATTCAACCACAATTCCTGATGTACTATCAAACTCCAAAACGTTGATATATAACTCAACACTATATTAACATATTTAATATTTACAGATTTTCTCATAAATCTATCCCCTACATGCCAGTTAACCAAGCTTTTGGCAGTGGGACCTTTATGTTGATATGACAGACAAATTCATTGTTAGAAAGACAATGTCCTTCAGATAGTCAGGCTCTAAATCATTTCAATTTTAAATTCCTTTTTAAATTGTTCTTAGTGGGTAATGGGCAGCTACTACAGATCTTTCAGAATAGATACTATGCAATTCTTTTGCCTTGTAGCAGTTGCAACTTCTGGATTCCATCTATCGTACCCTAAGTAGTTTAACATTAACATGAATGTATGGAGGATATCTAAGGTTAAAACAGCATTAAAGCCAGTTGCTTTAATATTAAGGCACCAGACTAAAAAGCAGGAAACCGTGACTTCAGGTTCTGTCTTAGTCATGAAAGCCAGCTGGGCAACTTTGAGCCAGCCACTCTCTTGCAGCCCAACCCATCTCATAGGGTTGTTTTGGTGGGGAAAATAGGAGGAGGAAGGTGTGTTGAATATGTTTGCCTTCTTGAGTTATTTGTAAAAATAACTAAAAGCAGGATACAAATAAATAAATAAATAAAATTACCAGTCTATACCGTGTTTCTCACAAAATAAGGCCGGGCCTTATTTTTTTTTGACCCCTGAAAAAAAGGCTAGGCTGTCTTTTCGGGGGTGACTTAATTTCCTCCCCCACCTAGAGCAGCCCATACGCACGTACCTTGCCATGAGGCCGCTTCTATTGGCAGACGAAAGCTCCCTTGAAGGCAGAGTCCCCAGCCGCTTCGGGGCGAGGCGTGGCTGCCCGTGTCCCCTTGCCATTAGGCAGTCTCTTTCAGGCAATGGAAGCTCCCCAAATGCAGTCACCAGCCACTTAGATCGGCCGGTAGAAGCAGCCTCGGGGCGAGCGCAAACACACACACACTCCCCTTGCCGCGAGGCCGCTTCTATCGGCAGACGAAAGCACCCTTGAAGGCAGAGTCCGCAGCCGCTTCAGGGCATGGCATGGCTGCCCGTGTCCCCTCGCCATTAGGCAGTCTCTTTCGGGCGATGGAAGCTCCCCAAATGCAGTCAACAGCCACTTCGATCAGCCGATAGAAGCGGCCTCGTGGCGAGGGGAGTATGTGTGTGTGCTCGCCCCATGGCCGCTTCTACCGGCCGATCGAAGTGGCTGGTGACTGCATTTGGGGAGCTTCCATCGCCTGAAAGAGACTGCCTAATGGCGAGGGGACACGGGCAGCCACGCCTCGCCCCGAAGCGGCTGGGGACTCTGCCTTCAGGGAGCTTCTATCGGCTATCAGGGTATTCTAGCCTAGGCTACCTGCAGGGCACTATTAAAGGCAAGTTTTCTCCCCATCCCCCCCGCCCTTCCCCCCCATTTCTCTTCACCTCGTGTAGTTCTAACGAACGATGTGAGAAATGGCGGGGAAACACATGGTTTAAATTTTGGGGGCGGGGCTTAATTTCACCTCATGCCTAGAAATCATGCTGGGGCTTCCTATTGGTGGAGGCCGTATTGTTGGAGAAACACGGTAGATTATTCAAATACAGTGATTTTTACCTTCCAGCATTCATAGTGACCATGCTTTCTGGTGAATTCTGGAAATTAATGTCCATGTACTGAAGGACATCTAAGCTATGGAAGTCTGATTTAGAATATCATTTTATCTTAAATAAATATATTTAGTTTGCACTTTTTGTGGTTATGGTATTTCTCCTCCATGAAATGTGAAGGAAAGAGATATCTTTGATTGACCTAAAAAAATACTGTTCTATTCCAGTTGGCAGGTACTGTAACTACATTGTCTATGTCTTTGGTTTGTTAATTTAATTAATGGAACAAAATCGATTGAAAATATGTCTGGTGCTTTTTTTAAAAAAACAACAGCCCTTTAATATAATGACTATTTCCTGTGTATTATTTTTCTAAAACTGTAATATAAATATGGCTGAAACTAGTTAAGTTGATTTTTTTTAAATACCAACTTTCTAAACTGTTCTTAAAATATGCATGACTATTGAAACTATTAATTAAAAGGATTAAGACTGTAAACTCCCTACCAGTAAATAAAGCCTTTGGAGCACAGTAAAAGAATAATAATGTATAATAATCTTTGTTAATGTTTTGTTTTCAAAATGCAGACCTACCATTGTTCATAGATTCTTGATTAAAGCAACAATAGAAGAACGTATGCAGACAATGATGAAAACTGTAGAAAGGAGGTAGGTAAAAGTTGATAATCAAATTGTTGTTCAAATGTGTAAGTGAGCCATCCACTATGTAAAATCATATAACTGCAACTCTGTAAACATATATATAGGAATAAGTTCCATGGAATTAAATAGGAGTGGACATGTAGAATTATATCAGGAATTAGAATTATGATGAAAAAAGGAAAAGGCATTGTCCAAGAACTCTCAATTACAGGCATTTTCAACTTGTGAATATTCTTGTTGCAAAAAGAAACTGAAGCATAATAAAAACTTTCTTCAGTGAAAATGTCTGAGATTAATATAGCAAATAAGAACAACTGCAGGGGTGGGATTCTACCAGTTTTCACATATTCACTAGAACCAGTTGTTAACATTCTAAGCAGTTCGGAGAACCGGTTGTTAGAAGAAATTACTGGCCTAATCCTGTAAGGAAGGCGGGAAGGAAACATTTTGGTGTTGCTTACAGAAACTGCCTCTCCGTTAACCCTTATTACATTCTTGGCAGGACTAGACTTCCTGTCTCAGGAACGTCTCTGGAGTTTTTTTCCCCTCCTTTGCTGGTACTTTGCTTGTATGGAGTGACCATTCAAAGTTACAATGGCACTGAAAAAAGTGACTTATGACCATTTTTCACACTTATGACTGTTGCAGCATCCCCACAGTCATGAGAGGCCAGGTGAGGAGATGCGTGCCTCAATGTGAGTGATGTTGAGTTGGCCACATCAGCCAATAACATGACCAAGCCACGCCCACCAACTTAGCCACGCCCACAGAACTGGTTGTTAAAATATTTGAATCCCACCCCTGAACAACTGGATTTTGCTATATCCAATGATTGGGAAAGTCCATAGGAATTACCTTTGTTTGTATTTTGAACTCTCAAGCTACTACAACTGAATCAATTCCTGAAACTGATCTTCAGAGGCTAACTTTCCAGACCAAAATAATTTACCTCTTAAATTAATTATCTCATTTTTATTAGCCAAATTCCCAAGAATCATACAAGCTTGTGTGCATAGGAAATCTATATAAATAATTACAGGTTCATTGGTTATTTATGATAATTAATTATTAATTAATTATATTGTGATACCTCACAAATATATTTTTCTGCTTTTAAAATACTAAAGAATTATGTTTGGTTATTGTATGGCTTATGTAACATGGTATAATCACATCTCAATGTCTATGGAGATTCTCAGTCATGGTTTTCCCACACATGCTTTTTCAAGAGGCAACTGGACTTTTTTGTTTTTCTTTGTTTTTCTTTGAAGATATTTCGCTTCTCATCCAAGAAGTTTTTTCAGCTCTGACTGGATGGTGAGGAATGGAAGGAGTATAAATCCTTCCATTCCCCACCATCCAGACAGAGCTGAAGAAGCTTCTTAGATTAGAAGCGAAACATCTTCAAAGAAAAACAAGAAAGTCCAGTTGCCTCTTGAAAAAGCACAGTTGGGACAATTAAATCTCAACTTTTTTATTTTCTTTTGTTGACCAGAAGACCTAGCAACTTTTATATTATATAATTTTTTTGTACAGTATATACATTTTTATTATGAAGTGGTAGCTTAGTTTATTGCATAATTTCTAATTATGTGAATCATTTTACTTAAAAATTAGATAAAATGGAATTGGAAAAGAGTTTACCATTTCAAATCTAAATGACATTGTAAACCATCCTGGAAAATATTTAAAATTATCAGCCACAATTTTGTAGTCCTTTGAAATGAAGTGTTCTTGGTAAACTGCCTTTTCCTCAGTGATCATTATAAAATAAATCTCTAGTGCAGAGCTGAGTGTACTGTCTGTTTCTCAATCTTCTTGATTTGTTCTCTTCCTATTTCTTATTTTGTTTCCAAAGTCATTCCAATTCTTCCCTGAAACAGTCAGAGGCCTCTGTGTTAACTGTAGCTGATTTGGCAGATCTTTTCTCAGAAGAAACTGAAGAACTGGAATGAAATAATCTATTTCAGACTCACCAAGGTTGGAAGAGGGCCATGACTTACCTTTCAGATTCATTGAGGTTGGAAGAGGGCCATGACTTATCTAAGAGACAAGATGATATGAGCTAACTGTCAGAAATTCCGATAGATGTCACCAACTACTCATTCATTTTAGGATGAAAATATGAGTAAATAATTTAAGTTCTGTGATTGTGAATTTCTTCAGCATATTATTTTGGATAATCAAAATGCACTTTATTTACAAATTAATAAACTATAACTTTGTACTTCCAAAGAACCTTAGAACTGTAATCCATCTTGAATTGTGCAAAAGAAAAATTAATTCAATGTAGTTTGTTACATCAGAAAATATATTTGAAAGCAATGGGAGTAAATAATGGCATCATTGCTTGGATGCTTATATGAGTTGTGCCTAGAATTTCCGATCTAAGAGAGTTAAATAAGAGGCATGTATTGTTTGCTTCAACATGTTCAACTAAACATTGAAATAATTTATATAGCAAGAACGATATCATTAAGTATCGTCTCCATTTTATTTTTTGCAATTAATTATTAAAATAACTTTCAAAATAAGCGGTTACCTTTTTGAAGGAACTTCTAGTGGTGCTCCCATTATATCATGCAAGTAATAGAGTATCATTTTCCTTTATCTGCTAATCTTTAGATATCATTTTAGTTTTTATAATACAATAATATTTATGCCATGATACTCCAATTTAATTTTTTTTTCTTGTTCTTAAGTTTGCTGTTAATGTGCTCTTTGTAAATTTTAATGTCTTTTGTATGATCTTTGTCTTAAAATGATAGCTAGACATATCCGTATAGATATGTTCACATTTTTAAAGATTCTTACATTTGTATTGTTTTGTTTAAAATTTGGGTATTTGTATTCTGTTAAAAATGGCAGTGCTTCCTCTTGCATTCACTTTGATATGATTGTAAGCAAAGAATGACAAACTTGCAAATCATTAGTTTTATTGTATTGCTCGTTCAGTTTTACTAGCAGGTTTTACTATTAGCCATTAATAGTAGACATGAAAAAATAAATGTATACAAACAGTGAAGAATTTAATAATAATAACTTTTTCATATGACTGTCTTAGAAAGTATCTGTGCAGAATAATCTTACATTATTGACATTTATAGATAGATAAAGACTAGGATGCAGATTGAAAGTAAAATTTGAAGGCTGAAAGTTTCATTGTGGATATTTTGTTGCCAAGAATCATTCCTTAGCATTGCCCCCTACCATGTTTATATTTATTAACCTGGAAGCCTCTTTCCAGGCCGGGGTGGGGGGGATTAAGTGAAGGAAATAGCACATGCATACTCTAGTACACATGGGATATCAAGTTGAATCCCTTTTTTAAAAAATAAATTTACCTATTCAGGCCCAGTGTGTTCATGGCTACATCCATTTGTTCAGTCACCATTTCAAGTTACGACAGTGCTGAAAAAGATTGGCTTACAATTGATCTTTGAAGTTCCAGTCATTGCTGTGCCCCTGCAGTCATGTGATCATGGTCCAAGTGCTTGGTAATCCACCTGTATTTACAACTGCTGCCGCTCCTCCCAGTATATCTTCATTTTTTTTGCTTGCCTACCCTCCATTTGCCTGCCTATCCTCCATTGGCTTGCCAATGCCAGCTGGACTCAAGCCCTACAAAGAATGGGCTTTGTTGGTCATGTGCAAGGCCTTGCTGCCACCTCTCCCTCTGGCCACCTTGGAATCCCTCAACCAAGTACCTACCAGGCATCCTGGCCATGCTTGCAGGAGTCACTGTGGAACTGTCTCTGCCTCACTGACCAGGAGGATTTCCCCAGCTGGCATTGGTGCATGCTGTGGTGGAGAAGACTTGGGGCTATGGATCTTTCCCTTCTGGCAGGATGGCAACATTTGCCCACACTCCCTACCGTCTGTCCTCCTGTAGCTCTCACCTGCTGGGCTCTTTGCCTGGGACTCCTGCCTCTTTCTATGTTGCAGCCATATGAAGTCAGTTAATGACCTGCATGATATTGGTGTTCACGACTGCAACCAGGCTTTCCATGATTACCATTGATAAGTGATGCTTAGCCACAGAAATTCTGGTCCCAATTGCCATCATGATCCAAGGACAACCTGTATGATTTTAAAACCCAGGCATGACAGCAAAACATTGTTGCATCTTTATACCCTTAAGATTCTTCGAATGGGGAGGCTGGGTTTCTACCCCCCCCTCCTTTTTTTTTGCAGAAAATGAGCAGTGTGATGTATAGACATATTGAGAACAGCCAAATGTACCCCCCCCCCCAAAAAAAAATAGAGCAGATATAACTGATTTACATTTTTAGATTTGGAACCTTGAAAACCATTTGGCTCAACCGCCTTTGCAAAATTTGATTTGGCTAAATCATTTACTCTTGCACATAGTGAGCAGTTTCTGTCTTTACGTGATTTAGCTACTAGGTTTGACAGGAAGACAAAAAATAGATGGCAAATCGGAGTTATCCCACAATGCCAATAATTGAATCTTCCTATTTTTGGAAACATTCTGGGACTTAATGGGAACTGTCCTTGATTTAGGGCTGGATTAGAGATTCCCTGGGGCTTAGTGGCTTGGCAGTGTATACTTGGTTGCTAGAGCTACAGTTTGTTCTTGGATGGTATGTAAACACAATTTTACTACAACTAACTTCAGCTGCTTACTTTTAATTATTGTAAAGTTTTTAAATTACCAGTTTAATTTTTTAAAGAAAACTTTTTACCATCAAGAAGAGGTAACATGCCAAAAACTGGAGATAACAGAAACTTTCTTGATCAAATAAGCAATGTTATGTATTTCTCATTTATCTTAACTACAAGCTAGCTAGGTCAATTGTAACAAAAGTTTCTACCATTTCAGGCAATCTGAAGACTTGGCTAGCAAAGCATCCCTCTCGGTAGAACCAGCCTTTTTCTTCCTTTTTTGGTTGCCTGGAACATAAAAGTTGTTTACAAGAATTGTCATGTACTATTAACAGAAGCTAAAGAAATACCACACTAGAGTTGAGGGGGGAAGGGGTGGGTGAGACAAGGATATAACTTTCCCCTTACTTGCTCAATTTGAGGAAAAGAGCAGATGATCACACTCCATAAATTGGCTATTACGAAAAGTGCATTTTAGAATTAAAATTATAGGAAAACTGAAATACTTTTGAGAAAAGTATTTAGCACAGACACAGACACAGACACACAAAATCAAAGAATTTATGTCCTGTATTTGCACTGTACTTCAGTCCAGCAGACAGTGCCAGCTGGCTGTTCATCTTGGTTTTATGGAAAATGCTGATACACAAGACCAGTATAAAGTACTATAGAAATTCAATAGGTTTTGCGTTGTTTAAACAATTAAATATAATTGTTACTTGTCCAAATTAAACTATCTTTTTAAGATCATTTCAAGAGACAGAGAATTTTGGTAATATATTTTTCTGTTGTATTTTTGTTTGGAAGTCTCATTCAAGCACCTCAAATGTGTTGGAAGTTGGGATATCAGCAAAAGTAGAAATAGGAATTGGTTTACTTATAGATTCTGTGAGCAGAAAGAATTTTAAAAATTCTCCCCCCCCCCTCTTTCCTTGTGCTTAGTATTTTAGGAAGAATACTTCCTGCTGCAACCATATTCCAGAATTCCTCATTTCAGCATTACTCCTGTTTTATTTTGCTTTGCACAAACACATGCCCCCCCACCCCACAAAACCAACTAGGTAGTCAAAATCTTATATTGCAACTTTTTTCTCCAAAAAAGAGGGCTACATTTTCCCATGCCAATATTTTTACTGTGCAATTAAATCATCATCCTCATTAACCCAACCTGTCTTTATGTCCTATCTCAGACCTTTTTAAATGCCCAGCATGTCTTCCTAGAGGAGGGGTGGCAAACTCACATCGTCATGGCAGGACTGTATCGGGACTTTTTTCCCCTTTGCTAAACCAGGCATGGGCGTGGTCAGCGCGTGACACATCCATTCCATGGGCCGGGAGTTTGACAGACCTGGCTTAGAGAATTCTGATTTTATTAAGGCATGCTTTTTATGAAGACTTCTTCAGCAAGACTGCTTATAACCTTCAAGCTGCACTTAAAGTCAGATTGCTAATTAGGGCAGAAAGCCATTCCATTTCTTTCAATTGTGCCATCATTTGAATAACAGCTCAATTTTTTTCCATAATTTTTTTTAAAGTGGCAGAATAAGTGAGATTTTTATAAATCTCTTTATTTTTATAAAATTTCTTATTGACATTTTTGTTTTCCTATGTCTCCCTCCTGGTCATCAGTGCATTCTTCTTTTATATTTCAATGGCAAAATTTCATCTTCCACAAGATAGAAATGTGATAGTTCAGATTAGCTATTCCTTTTGATAATTTTATTTATGTGTGTGTATATTCCATTGGAAGTGGTAACTTCATCTTTTTTTAAGGCATGTAAAGGCTAATGATGCTGCATAGAATATAAATTATACTTTCAAGCTAATGGCTCAGTGACATTCAAGAGAATTTAGTATGTAAGAACTTAACTGATCTAGATTCCATGAAGCTACCAGTAAGGGCAAAAATCAGTCAAAGTACATTAACATTATTTCAGCCTGATAAAACTACTCCTTTTGAAATAAGAACCAGTTTGGGCTACATCAGGCTACAAATGGGAGACTGATTTCTAGTCCAGCCATAGCATTGAAAGTTTGGCTAGCTGACTTTAGGCCAGTCACTGTTAGCCCGAGCCACCTCACAGGGTTGTTCTTGTGAAGAAAATAGGAGGAAAGAGTTTAGATATGTTTGTTGCTTTGTGTTAATTATAATAATACTAATGATGGGATAAAAATAAAAATGTTTTGAATTTGACTGCACTTTCATCTTGTGAGTGGTCATAATCAGTCTTCCTTTTGCATATCATTGTTTTGTACGTATTAGTGGATTAGTAGGAAATAGATTGAGGTCCACATCCTTTAATAAATATATGTTAGGCAAATGTAGTATTTGGGAAAGCTTGAGCTATTATGCAACCATGAAAAATAGAGGCTCTTTTAGGCAAATAATGCTAAAATAGTGTTTTTCAAACATGACAACTTTAAGATTTATGGGCCTCAACATTGGCCAAGGAGTTCTGGGAATTGAAGTCCACACATCTTAAAATTGTCAAGTTTAGGTCGACAACCCGGAGTTATAATACCACATAATGCTGAAGGCCTAGCATTCCTCGGGCCAATAATTCAGATCCCTGGCAACTATATTTTCCTTTTCTTGGCCTTTTGTTGCTTGTGGAGTAAAAAGCAAAAGGATGTAAAAGAGAAGACAGAAAGAGAAGACGTTCACTTTGGGCTGCCCTTCTAATTTATAACAATGGCTGTGCTCATTTTAGTATGTCTGATCTTTAAAAAAAAGTCACATTTCAGCACCCCCAAATACATTGATTATATTGCACAATGATAAATAGGCTGTCAATTGCTTTATTCATGTTCATTTTTAAAGCATATTTTTCTTGAGGAACTCTGATCTGCACCTTAATTTCATGGCACTAAAGTAGGAGACCTCCATGTGTTCCGCTTAACATCAACTACACAGATTGTGGAACAAGAAAGGTAATATATATACAACACTATGGCAGTTTTTAAATTGTTTATAAACTTGCTCCTATGCCTCAGTTGTTTTCCAAACTGTTATAAAGATCTTCAGAATCCTATAAGCATTTAATTATACATGAAGTTAAAGAGTTAATTGTTTTGTCACTTAATTTTGAAAAAGGTGAAATCTTATAAATACAATTCTGGTATTTTAAAAGTATTTTGAGAACATCCAATAGTATCAAAAGAGCCTATGTTCTAAGAACATATGGAGATATACCATTCATGAGGTGTGCAGCTTACCTTGTCTGTTCCATACAAATGGAACATAAAGCAGGCAGCCTGCATCACCTACATGGGTGAAACCAGGATGTTTTAAAGAAACTGCAGTTTTTGTAGAGAGTTGGATATTTTAACATTTTAACTGTGTCACACCTATTTTGGGGCCTATAGGACAGATTTCTGTGCATTTCTTCCATCAGGTTACTGTGCTGGAAAAGTTTGATGGAAAGCTTTGGGAGCAAAATTAATTGGGCCAACATTACAGGATAACAGGTTTGCACTATTATTTCTAACTCTTCCCCATAAAAAACGTGAAATATAAAATTATTTCTGTGCATGTATAGAGTCTCTCCCTTGCAAATCACCAGATACGCATCATACGGAATTAAGAGGGTTAACCTGCAGAGGAATTGATCACCCATTTTTCCCCACAGCTGCTCTGGAAAGAAATATAGCAAACCCCATGTGAAACTAGATACTACCTGTGATATGGCTATCATAGAAACCATGGTCCATGGGCTTCAGTACTGCCCTGTATTGCTAGTCCTACAGGAACATTTACCACTAATTAATTGCCCCTCTTTTACTTACATTTCCAAGGCACTCTGATAACTCTGATTATCTGTTAAATAACCCAGGGAAATTTCTTTAAAAGGAGCAAAAATTATGTGCTAATATTCCTTGTTATTTGGGTATAGTTTTGGTTCATTTTATTGATTGTACTTTTATTGGTCAATGACTAAATTGAAGTTCAAACTATGGGTAGCAAATTAATTCAATAAACTTTTACTTGTACAAATGCATAACACTGTATATTTCCACTTAAATTTTGAAAACTTTATGGAGACATTTTTTCCTCTAGCAGTTAGAATAATTTGCTTGACTTGGGGTGCAAAGTGCCAAGGCAATAGTAATGAATGCTTTAAAAATCATATTCAAGTCCTTCATCTCTGTGTCTAGCAATTTTCAGCTTTACAGTAATTGTAATTTAGTTTGAAACCCGTTGCTCTACCCCAATAAACGATCCAGTTGGTGATGTTCTCTATTCCATTCAAGAGAGGCTGGTGGCTTACCATAAAGTGGAATTTACAACTGTGATTTTCAATCATCAGTCATCAACCTCTCGTTAGCTAATAAAAGAATATTTAATGTTTCACTAAACACCGCGAGCGAGCCTAACGCCACATACCAAAAGCGGCGCAACTACCAACTTTGGAACAACCCCCTCCTGCTCCTTGGGGGACCGTGGTGGTGTTAAGACAGTTGCGTCTTACGTCATTAACGAGACTGGCCGCGACGTCTTTACAGGCCCCGCCCCTCTCACCGACGCTCCCGCTGGCGTGGGAACGGAGGGGAGGGGCGAAGGAACGGCACCCGGAACGAGGCCTTCTCTGCCCCGCCCC